ATCGCAGCACCGTTGCAGGATAGCATTGGGGATGGTGGTTTGTACAGCATCTGGACAGGTTTACTCATAATTATGGAGCTGACGATCTTAATGGTCATTTGGAAAGGAAAGGCTTGGAGAGAAGAGGCAGAAAGGATAGAGCTCGCAACGAGTGCAAGGAAACCTCCCACAGGCGAGGGCGACAGGAATGAACTTGGGTGATGCGACGTGGCGAGATAGATGCTTAGAGGAATGGACACCGCAAGATAGGAACCGATGTTCTGAAGAAATTATACCTCAACAGAATTGTACTTTAATTTGCGACACGAATTGTTTCTTTATCACCACTCATTCATCCTGTAGCATAGCAGAAGGACATGATTTTGACATCGTTTAACTGGAAATTTTAGGCAATTAATTATGATTAATTAATTATACGTAGTAACAAACACCACCCCCTCCTAATGTGCCAGACTCTGGCGAGCCAGTTGCGCGGTGGGGCAGCGGGCCACTTTGGACCTAACCATGTCTTGCGAGATTCCTTACCGGCCCAGTTAGATGAAATTGATACATTGGTGGCCTATCATCATCATATTACCTAAGTGTATCCTCCTCACTCGAACCATCCGCAGGTTGATCCCTTCGCGTTGAGCCAGTATGAGGAGCCGGTACGTATGTTAGGAAGCAATCTGTTGCTTTCTTTCGTAAAAATGTATGCTCAGCTTGTCTCCGTTTAGTCCTACTTATCAGTTGTCGATAATGGAGTACCCACTAGAGAATGAGACCGACCCAAGACGACTTGCTCGTGAGGTCATTCGTACCATGATGGGGATCATTCAGGCTATTCAGTTACAATTAAGGGTAACTTGAAGTTGTAGTGATAGAGAAATAACGGGGAAATCTGTCTTTACTTGGACTTCCCTTTAGTCGGGAACCGTGCAAGGAAAAGTAAGTCCCTAGGGTATCCAATCTTAAGCCGAGTCACTGTACATACTCTCTAACATCTTTCTTGCTTTGGTCATTATCATCACGTCACTCGTCAAATTTTACTCGGATGGCCGGTCGAAACTTCTAAGGGAAT